CTGCATTTGCATTCCAGAAAACTCCATTTTACCAGAGTCAAATTATTGATTGCATTTTTTATGTACCATTTTCATCTCCATCTTTTTTTTTTCATTAGGAATAATTCAGCTTGTGCTGTATTTATTGACATTAGAAGAGTTCATGACTATTGATCATTCTATTTTCAATAGGTAATGTTTATAGGTATTTGATTCAAACTCATATAAGATTGGGATAACAAGGAAAGTGTGTGATCTTATTAATCTAACAACTATTCTTTAACCCAAAGCCTATTTTTAAATTATTTGTTTGAGGTACTGATTATGAGTATTGGTTATTATTCTTAATCATAATAATGTAACTTAGATTTAAATTATATCCATGAACTAGTATATTTTATTCATTGAATTGCCAAACCATATCACCTGTGTGCTTAAGTTTTATATGAATTTATTCAGGTACCACAAAATCAGAGTTCAGGCTTACAAATAAAAATGAAACTATAGAAAAAAAACAACAACCAGGTTTGGCATCCTTCAATGAATAAAGTCCATGTAAATTTTTCTATTGGAATTTTATAGCATTTTTTCTAATCTTTAAGATAAGCTACCCTAATTTGTATTTTCCCAAACTCAACAAAGTCTTTTTCTTCCTGGTTGTGGACTGATACTTCCATGGTCAATATGAAAGCTTTTATATAACATACAAATATGCACCAAAAATGAAAATGAGTTGAACATGTGTATTGGTCTTATGGAGCCTATTTTAATTTTATTGTAATGGCTACCCTTCTCACAGAAGATGAAGGAGCTGTGAGATGTGGTGACTGGAACAGGTGCAGCTTATATCCTGATCCATGAACCCCTGTAGATGCTGCTTGACTCTGGAAGACAAAACCTGGATCACTATAAAGCCTGTTATCATCAATTAGAAATGTTATCCAGGGTAAATGAGAGATTGCAAAATACTGGAAAAAAATACAGAGTACTGGCTTTCCTTGACAGGTTTCCAGCCTGAATTCAGTTATTTTCATGGAGTCTTCTGCTAGGTGTGTGTAAAATGGAGATAACATGGGCCTCAGGATGACTTCAAGGCATACTCACCCCCATCCAACACTGCGCCAGATAATTTGTTTAGTATCGACTATTATTTTGATCTCTTTTGCCCTTCATTGTCTCAAGTTCAAGACGCCAAAACATCTGGATGGCGTGACTTGTTAATTGTCAACATGTTGGACCCTGATATCACAGAAGTGAATGTCCTGTGGCAACAGCAAGACCGTGTCTGTACATTTTCCCCATCTACACTTTCTACTAACGTGCTGTAATTAAATTCAAAACAAGCAACACAAATCTTGAAAGTTAAATTATTAGTGTCAGGATGCTAGTACACTAGTACAGGATGAATGTACAGCTCCTCACAGTAAACCATAAAATACCAATTATTGGTAGTCATTGCTTCCTGAAATGCTACCATGTTTCTATACATCTAAAGTTTGTACAGTTTGTGGTGGCTGTTTTTGTTTGTTATGCTTTTTTTGTTTTTGGCTTTTTATCTTTTGTTTATTTATTATTTATTACAATTTATTCACTTCATATCCCGGCTGTAGCCCCCTCCCTCACCTCCTCCCAGTCCCACCCTCCATTCCTCTTCTCCCCTTTTGCTCCTCCTCCCCTAGTCCACTGATAGGGGAGGTCCTCCTCCCCTTTCCTTTAACCCTAACCTATCAAGTCTCATCAGTACTGGCAGGACAGGTCTCATCAGGTCTTCCTCTGTGGCTTGGCAAGGTTGTACCATCCCCCAGGGGGAGGTGATTAAAGTGCCACCCACTGAGTTCATTCCAGAGAAAGCCTGCGTTCCCCTTACTAGGGTACCCACTTGGACACTGAGCTGCCATGGGCTACATCTGTGCAGGGGTTCTAGGTCCTCTCCATGCATGATTCTTGGTTGGAGTATCAGTCTCAGAAAAGACCCCTTTGCCCAGAGTGTTTGGTTCTGTTGCTCTCCTTGTGGAGCTCCTGTCCCCTCCAGGTCTTTCTATCTCCCCCTTTGTTCATAAGATTTCCTACACTCTGCTCAAAACTTGGCTATGAGTCTCAGCCTCTGCTTTGATATCTCGATCAGTAGAGTCTTTCAGAGGCCCTCTGTTGTAAGCTCCTGTCCTCTTTCTGATGTCTATCCTGTTTGCCCTTCTGAATGAGAATTGAGCATCTTTCTGGGGTCCTACTTCTTGCTTAGCTTCTTTAGGAGTATAGACTTTAGTATGTTTATCCTATATTAAATGTCTAACAACAACTTATCAGTGAGTATATACCATGTGTGTCTTCCTGCTTCTGGGGATATTGTTTTATTAACGCGTAATGCATTCAATTTATACTTAAACATGGTTTATGCACAGAAATTTATAAACTTCCCTAAAATTGATAATACCAAGACTAAATCAATACTGCCAAGATATTCATTGAACATGTAGTATTAAAGGATTCTAGTATGATTATGAAGCCTTCTGCCTTCTACAGAATAAGAACTCCTTCTGTATTTATCTCATTACTCAGATGCCCAAAGGTATCTTGAATGAGGTCAAGTAATTACACTGCAGATACAAAAACAGCAAAGAGTTGAAGAGAAAAGAAAACACAGGATCGCATAAGAGAAGCCCTCTTCCTTCTCTTCCTGCAGGCTTAGGTAGGTATGATTCATACTTTTTCCAAATTAAACACCTATGTACAAATGAAGAAGCAGAACATACAGATTCAGTCAATAACAGCAGACTAGAGGGATGATATTTTTAAAGATCATTTCTAAATTACATGAAAAACAATTCTAAAAAAAATGTTGTGGTTTTTTTTTCTATTTAGTTTGCTTTCCTAACCTTTGCTTAATTTGGTAGAGAAATATTGATTTGTATTTCTTAAAAGGTCAAAACCAATCATTATTTATCAATCAAAACACAAAATCATTTACATCATGTTTCATTTTGAGTTAAATCTCATGCCGATAGTTTAGTCATTGGAAAAAAGAACATTTTGCCCTTCAAGTATTTTTTGCAAGTATTCAGAGCTCACCCTTCCCTAACTTCATAACAGTTCAAAAGGTGCTGACATTGAAGTAAACTCCACTTTGACGTAAGAAAAACTGTATTTTATAAAACTGCTCAGTGCAAAAAATAAATAGAAGCCTTTATATGTAGCTCTCATAGTTTCGTTTTCTATTTGTTTATGAAACACAGTTATAAAAATGGGATGAAATAAAATACAAAGACACACAATATTTGAATTTTCTTTATTCCCTTGAGATGAATTTATAGATAGTCCTGTTCATGCTCAATTCTTTATTAGGTAGAGCTTAGAGAGAGCCCATATGTGTATATATTAGATTTTTACTCAATTTCTGATGACTTCTGTATAAGAAGGAGGACAATATGGAAGTCTTTACAAAGAAATACACTATAAAATAGGAGCATATTAAAGCCAAGTAAGACTAGTGATTCATCCTTACCCATTCATATTTTCTCTTTCTCTGTGTTTCTGTTTCCTTCTCTCTTTATCTGCCTCTTTCTCTCTGCCTCTGCCTTCATTTCACTCCGTCATATGAACGTTCCATCTTCACTCCCCCTTCTTCCATTGTTCCATTTGTTCCTCCCCCACCCTGTTCTTTTTCCTTTTTCTCTACATCTCTCTGCTTCTGATTCATTGTCACATTCATGTCCGTATCCCTGACAAACAACTGCTATCAATTCATTTTGTTTAGGAATGGTAGCTGTGCTCATGTACATACTGTATGGCTCCTCATTTGCTGTGAGGCATTTTGTGCAAGCTTACATTGGCTTAATAACAAAGCAAAGGGCTCCCCAAAGAAATATGGAGAGAAATCTTGGTGAATCTTTGCCATCAACTAAGGATTTTCGCACGTTGTAGAGATTATACCTTGCACTGGTCAAGTAAGCCTAATGCGGTTTTTAATTTGATAAGAAAAGAAATTAAATCCAAGAATTTATTGCATCAACTCACAACCTCAAATTGTTTCCATTTTCTTATTCCCAGGGGTCTTTCCACAGAATTAACCTGTCAGAAGGCAGGAAGGGAATAACACTGATTTATTACTAAAGGCAAAGAGTGACTTAAGCTTGAGGGATATTATGGGAAAGGCTCTAAAGGGAAAGAGCACATTGTGTTTAAGTTGACAAAACCAGAGAGGTAAGTCATTAACTAAAAGTCCAGCATAGACAGACATTTAATTTAGTCTTCTAGCCAACAAGTCCCTCAAGATTATAAAATCTTACTGTAACCTCCCAATAAGCTGATCATTTAAATGATACATGAGAATTGACTTGCTAGTTCACTTCAAACAGGAGACCCCAGAGAGTATAAAGATGTCCCAGAGAATCAGTCATTTACAAAGGATTTATAAAAGAGAATGCCAGGACCAAAGTTTATGTGACAAATGACGAAAAGCCACCTTTCATTTCATTAAACATTTTTTGTACAAATAACAGAGTAGTTTTCAGTCTACAGGCTCACATAATCTAATTATCGTCTTAATGTTGTTAGAGAATATTATTCCATTTCAGGGTTTTTTGAAAATTCCCCAACCTCTATCACTCAAAGAATAGTATGAAGTACTGTGGAAATATATTTCTAGGCATAAAGATCAAAGCAAGTTCCAGGGGAAATTATCAGTTAAAGAATATAGCCTTTTTCCTAATAGGGTCTCCATGCTACACTTCAATGTAAAGTTAATGAACAAATTCTATTTCTAGATCATCCAATTTAGATATTTCCAGTCTAAGTTATTTTAATAACCTGCTGGGATTACAACTAATTTGACATATGGTTTTATAAACTTTCATTTTATACCCAAGTTTTGTATAAAGATACTGATTTCAAACAACACATTTATATCTCACACACACACACACACACACACACACACAGAGTATCAACAACAACAACAACAACAAAAAGGACTTTCTTTATTTTATGTGCTTGGCTGGGAGAAAAATGCAATGTCTGTTACATACCTCAGTAGCAAACTGCTGCAGCCCACCAATATTAATTGGTCCCTCTTCAGTGGCGTGTAAGTTGCATCCACCCACACAGAGGTCTGATGTTGGACAAACCATTCCACAAGTTAGACCAAGAGGATTATCCGAAAAAATCAGCTTAGCAGCACCATAGTAGTTCTATAGAGGAAAAAAAAATTCTATTAGGGCACATTGCAGCTTAAATACCCAATTTTGGTTTTTTATTTCTTCTGGTAAGCTCAAGATGTTGAGATGCAAATGAGATGTGTATACCACGATGCCGATTGTCATCGGGCACCTGCACAATGGGAATACCATGCAGGAAAGGAATCTATACATCTGTGTTAATAAAAGAGTGCTTGTTCAATTTCAGAAATGTGACATTTAAAAGACCGTCATTCACAGCGCATAACATAGCTTTCACTAAATTCTTCTCTACATCTTTACCAAAGGTAGGTCAGGAACATGGTTAAGCAAGCATGAAAGAGAAAATTCAGCTTTTAAGACAATGACAAGAGAAAGATGTATTTGATAGGCTTCCATATGGCTAAATTGAAAACAATCAGAGTTACCTGCCTTCTTCCATTCACTACTGTTTCAACATGCTCCTTTGATCAACACCCCTCAGTTGCATCCTCGAACTAAAGATACAAATAGGTACTTAGTACAGCGACTCCTAAACAAGACCACAAACCTTTCTTCGCTCAACACCCCATGTTTGATGTCTATAAAATAGCTTAGAATATTTTTATTGTCAGTCACTCTGAAACCTAATTTGCTCACAAATCAGATGATACGAATCATGAACTAAAATTTAAAAATGAGTAAGTAATTTAAAAGTTTTGTAAACTAGGACAGCCAAGAAGAGCTTAAGGAGACGTAACACATAACACAAAATAGGGCCTTGAAGCAAATACTTGCAAAAAATAAAAAGAACACTTATTTGGCAAAAATAAGGGAATTCAAATAAACTGGAGATTTTCCTTAGAATGAAGTCCATATTTGGTTTTGTGGATATGATAACTGTGCTATGCTTGTACAAAAAGAAAGAAAGAAAGAAAGAAAAATACACATTTTTGCATTCTGTGGCACTGTCACAAAGTAGTGGCAGTGCTTTTCCTTTTAGTGGCTCTTCACTATTTCCCCAGCACTTTGACAACCCTTGGTTCCATCTGGTAATCTCAATTACCTCACTATGGAAAATGTCCTGAATGCCATCAAAAACATTCTACATGCACTGACAGACAAAAATAAACACCTGGCATTTAAGATAAAACAGTAAGTTAAAGAAACAGGTCACTGGTGAATTGAAGAGAACAGAATGGTTAAAGTATCGTTGATAGCAATTTGAGAAAAAAAAAAAGAAGAAGAAAAATAAGTAAAATGATTAAGAATATCACTACACTATATAGGCCACTCTATGGTTAAAGACAACTGTATTGCGTTTCAGCTGTGGTCTTTTTCATCACGAAAAATCATTGAACTGCAGTAGTCAATGTTTTCTCAATTGTGACAGTTGAAACATAGCAACCAAAGGAAAATGAAAATAACAGAATTTTATGGACCGAAACTTTGTGCTTCAAAAGGCATACCACGAGAGTAAGACGATGTGAAATATTTGAAAACTATTTGCAAGAGATTTGCATTTAGAGTATATTAACGGGATTGTTTAATGGGGGGGGGCGGTAAAGAGTTACAACCAAATCATTCAAAATTGCTGTGGGTAAATATTCAAAAAAGTTCACAGTAGGCGTTGAAGTGATGACTTGGCAATTCGGATAGAGTTCTTGATGTAGGAAAAGATGTCCAGAAGACTCACTTGAAATTTGTGCTTGCTCCAGATTATTGAGAAATCTGGCTGCCAACCTACAACTTTAGGTGTTTAATTGAAGGTCCTTTCTTTAGTTTTGTTGTTGTTACTTTGTTCATTTGAGACATGAACTTTCTATGTAGTCTTGGCTGTCCAGGAACTCCCTAGGCAGACCACTCTGCCTTAAACTCAAAGGTATCTACCTGCTCCTGCCTCTGGAGTGCAGAGTTTAAAGGTATCTGACACCGATTGAAACTTTTTAGTGGAAGGATTCGGGTGTTTAAGAGATTGAATAAAAATATTACTAAACAGAACACTGAAAAATTCTCAGAAAGGAAATTGGGAAAGGGGAAGTGTCAGGGAGATCTCAGAAAAAGAAAAGCATCGAAGTATGTCAGAAAACCAGAAAGGTGGTTTTGCACAGAGGGCCTCTGAAAGACTCTACCCAGCAGGATATCAAAGCAGATTTTGAGGTTCATAACCAAACTTTGGGCAGAGTTCAGGAAATCTTATGAAAGAAAGGGGAGATAGAAAGACCTGGAGGGGACAGATGCTCCACAAAGAGAGCAACAGAACCAAGAAATCTGGGCAAAGGGGTCTTTTCTGACACTGATACTCCAACCAAGGATCATCCATGGAGATAACCTAGAACCCCTGCACAGATGTAGCCACAGCAGCTAAGGGTCCAATTGGGCTCCCTAGTAATGAGAATAGGGGCCTTCTCTGACATGAACTCAGTGGCTGGCTCTTTGATCACTTTCCTCCGAGGGTGGAGGAGCCTTATGAGGCCACAGAGGAAGACAATGCAGCCAATTCTGATGAGACCTGATAGGCTAGGGTCAGATGAAAGGGAGGAGGACCTCCCCTATCAGTGGACTTGGAGAGAAAAATGGAAGGAAAATAGGGAGGAAGGGTGGGATGGGGTTAAGGGAGGGGGCTATAGCTAAGATACAAAGTGAATAAACTGTAAATAATAATAGTAAATTAAAAATTAGAAAAAAAAAGAAAAGAAAATAGGTGGTGCAAAAACTGAGACATGAGGAAGTCACCTTGCAACCCACCTTCTTGTGAAACTCTCAAGAATCCCAGATCAGTCCAGTGTTTGGAGATCTGAGTACTCACAGCAGAGCCACTCAGAAGCCTTTCAAGAAGTAGAAACCTTCTCATATCTTCCCTGGAAGCCACACAATCAATATCAATTCTGTCTTTCCAGCAAGAGAGATGAGTCTGAAGCCTTCTTTCTACACACAAGATTTACCTCTTCAACATTTTAAAAGCAAAAGCTGGAAAATTTAAATGGAGAAAGTACTTCATAGAAACCTGGGTACACTCCTCCTAGAAGGTAAATACCACTTCAGGCTTTTCTTCATGTTATTTTCTCAAATCACAACATTTTAGTGTTTGTTTCATCAAGTGGAAAAATGTATAGTGTAATGCTAGAAGGGATGCAAGAAAATTTCTCTTTAGGTGCAGTCATTTTTCTTTTCTGCTTTTTTTGTGTGTACCATAAGAACATTTTTATTTTAATGTTTCTGTTGTACTCGTTGTTACTGTTCTTCTCTGTTTGTTTATTTGAATAATGGATATCTCTGTAGAATTCAAGACGGCTAATTTACTTCTACTTTGAAAACTCTTAAGAGAAAAATGGTGGTCTGAAATGGTGGTTACTTTCAAACCAACACAAAAGTTTAGCCGTTGAAAGTTTACAAGCCTGCTTCTTTCTTTATTTATTTATTTTAGCTGTAAATTACGTTTGTACCGGAGTATTTTAATAGCACATTACTCAGCACAACATGTGCCACTTAATTAATTTTAAGACAATTTCAACTTTAATACTTTCATTTTTAAAATAAAAAGCCTTCATTTTAAAAATGAAAGCTTGAAATTGCATTAGCGTCATAATGATTTTTAAAGTCATTATCGGAACTGCAAACCTCCTCCACTCGCTCTCCCCTCATCTGGTCTAACTGATTTCACAAATAGTCCCACCATATTCAGGCCTTCGTATCACTACAAGATTATCAATACAGCTGGTGGATTTATTTTAAAGTGTTCTTCCCTTTTCCAGTGACAGTTTTCACAGATGGAAGCACGCTTCCAAGAAACACTCCAATCTGTTGCATTTAAAAAAAAAAAAAAATACTTGTACTAAACCTCTATAAGTTTGCTTGAGTGAGATGGGTGAATTAACACTGCTTATATTCCTGGCTTAAGCTATCTAAGAATGAATGCATGGATACAAAGTAATTGACTAGGAAATTGCCTCAGTAGCACCTGCTGAGGACAGGGCAACCAGCTTTACTTTCTGTAACAATATCATCAGGACACATGGAAATGCACATTCAGAGCCAGATGTGGTGGTGCAGGGCTGCAGTCTCAGTGACTGGGAGGCTGAGGCAGGAGTGTAGGGAAAGCCAGACAGGGGTGTCAAGTGAAATCTTGTTAAAAACAAAGAAATGAGACCCTTACCCTCATAACATGCAGAGTCCGGGGGTGGAGAGGAAAAGGATAGGACAGTCCCGTCTACATACTTATGCTAAATTTTAGTATATTTTATACATTATAATTAGATATTTTGGGAGCACAAATTTAGTTAACTGTTCTCAGTGAAACTTAAAGGTGTAAAGAAATCAACATCTCATTCCTGCAGAATTTATAAAAAACTCTCACACACACGTGCTCACACAAACACATGCAGTTAAACATATACAACCACAAACACACATACACATTTACTCATGGGCATATATACACACAGTTACACATAAATACAGTTATATATGAGTATACACAAACACAGTTACAAATATACATGTACATACAGATAATTACATACACGGAGATAGACAATGGACATATTCCTAGATTTGAGTTCTATCACACAAAAAGCCCTTTAACTGAAGAAACATATGTATATATATGTATATATATAAACATATATATATATGTATAATATGTTTCCTCAATTTCAGGATTTGAGAAATAAAAACAAAATATGGTTATGTGGTTGTATCTTTTAAAAACTTGACATAGATACGAAGCTTCTCATTAAATAAACTTAATAGACTTAAGCTAGCTCTCTTTTCTCCTTATAGATTTTTCTTCCCCAAAAGCTTTTGTGATTGTTAATTCTTTTCTGTTGACGATTTTAATTCTATAAAAGAAAATCCATGTGATGAAAAGAATAAGAGGGTAACAACCATCCATTTAAGAGCCACCCAAATTGGCATGAACCTATGCAAATTGGCACAAAATACTTTAGCTAATCAAAAAGGAAAGTCGCTTCTGCTCCTCACGTTTCTTGCATCTTGTCTGCTTTTCTCAGCTGAATGGGCTTAACAACTATAAC